TTTTAGTTCTCCAGCCCCTCACTCTGGGACATTTTAGTTCTCCAGCCCCTCAGTTTGGGACATTTTAGTTCTCCAGCCCCTCACTCTGGGACATTCTAAAGCCACCAACCACAGAAAGCCAAACTCACGACTTGCAGCAGAGCCAGGTATCCGGCGCCGACGTTGTCAAAGTTAATTTTGACGTTCTTCCAGCGGATCTCAGTGGAGTTGGGCGGCATCAGCGCCTCGCAGTCTGTCTTGTTGTTTACAACCTCTATCTCAAAGCGGTGCTCAGCTGTTTCATTAAAGCAGTAATGATATTTCCCGGCAAACAGGTTAACCCCCATAATGCTGAAAATCAGCCAGAAGATAAGGCAGACCAACAAGACATTCATAATGGAAGGGATAGCGCCAACCAAGGCATTGACAACCACCTGTGTTGGGAGGGGTGGGAAAAAGTTTCAGTGTAAGACACGAGGCAGGAGACGGCGAGCATCAGTAGGGCCGGCTGGCCGGGGGGACGGCGGGGAGGCCGCTGGCGCGCCGGGGGTTAACCCGGCCGGCACCGGGGGGGGGTCCCGGAGCACCCGGGAGGGTCCCGGGCCAAAATGGGAATTGTTCCGCTGCGGATAGTGTGTATTGTTTATTATGTATTATATATTATATATGGTATATTGTATATGTGTGTTATATATTATATGTTGTATATTATATATGGTATATTGTATATTGTGTGTTGTGTATTGTATATTACATATCATATATTATATATGGTATATTGCATATTGTGTGTTGTGTATTGTATATTACATATCATATATTATATATGGTATATTGTATATTACGTATTATATATTATATATGGTATGTTGTATATTGTGTGTTGTATATTGTGCATTATATATTATATATTGTATATTATATATTATATATTGTATATTATGTGTTGTATATTGTGTATTATATATTACGTATAAAATATTACATATATTGTATATTACATATTATATATTATACACTATACATTATATATGTTATTGTTATATATTATGTGTTGTATATGGTGTGTTATATATTATATATTGTATATTACATATTATGTATGTTATATATTATATATTTCGTATTGTATATTGTATATTGTATATTATATATTATATATTGTATATTATGTATTGTATATTGTGTATTATTCTAGATTCTGTATTCGATATTATATATGATGATAAGATTAGATTATATTATATAATAAGATTAATAGGTTAGCTATTATATACTGTATATTCTGCATTCTATATATTATACATCATATGTCAGCTATTATATATTGTATATTCTGTATTCTATATGATAATATTAGATTATAATATTATATATCACAATGAGAGTAATATGTTTGCTATGATATATTGTGTATTTTGTATTCTATATTGTATATCATATGTCAGCTATTTTATATTGTATATTCTGTATTCTACATTATATATTGATATATATATATATATTATATAATACATATAGATTCCAAAATAATTTCCCAAGCCCCGTTGTTGGCTTTATGGCGTCTGCACTCTCTGTTTTTCACCAAAAACTGAAAAATTGAATTGCCCAAAGGCAGAAGTGGGGCTGCGACCAAGGGGCTCCTGATGGAGCCGCGTGCGGGGCCCCAAAAAATGGAGTTTTTTTGGGATTTCATTGAGGTTTTTGGGATTTCATTGAGTTTTTTGGGATTTCATTGAGTTTTTTTGGGATTTCATTGAGGTTTTTGGGATTTCATTGAGGTTTTTGGGATTTCATTGAGTTTTTTTGGGATCTCGTTGAGTTTTTTGGGATTTCCTCGGCCTCTCCTGCCATTCCCCCGTTCCAACCGAGCCGTTTTCACTCGGGGCCTGGCCCTGCTCCGGCGCGGGCTCAGGACCAAGCCCGGCATCACGGACGGACACCGAGATCATCCAGCGGCCGCAGCCGTGCCCGGGCGGAGCTGGGCATGCACCCGGCGGGCGAGCCGGGACACCAAAGCCACGTTCCTCCTGCAAAGGGCAGCCAACGGGGCTGGGTGGGGTCACAGAGGTTTGGTCACAGAGGGTTTGGTCACAAAGGTTGGGTCACAGAGGTTGGGTCACAGAGGGTTTGGTCACAAAGGTTTGGTCACAGAGGTTTGGTCACAAAGGTTTGGTCACAGGGTTTGGTCACACAAGGTTTGGTCACAGAGGGTTTGGTCACAGAAGGTTTGGTCACAAACGTTGGGTCACAGAAGGTTTGGTCACAAAGGTTGGGTCACAGGGTTTGGTCACAGAGGGTTTGGTCACAGAGGTTTGGTCACAGAGGTTTGGTCACAAAGGTTTGGTCAGAGGGTTTGGTCAGAGGGTTTGGTCACACAGGGTTTGGTCACACAGGGTTTGGTCACAAAGGTTTGGTCAGAGGGTTTGGTCACAGGGTTTGGTCACAGAGGGTTTCGTCACACAAGTTTTGGTCACAGCGGGTTTGGTCACACAGGGTTTGGTCACACAGGGTTTGGTCACAAAGGTTGGGTCACAGGGTTGGGTCACAGAGGGTTTGGTCACACAGGGTTTGGTCACAAAGGTTGGGTCACAAAGGGTTTGGTCACAGAAGGTTTGGTCACAGAGGGTTTGGTCACAGAAGGTTTGGTCACAGAGGTTTGGTCACAGAAGGTTTGGTCACAGAGGGTTTGGTCACAGAGGGTTTGGTCACAAAGGTTTGGTCACAAAGGTTTGGTCACAGAGGGTTTGGTCACAGAGGGTTTGGTCACAAAGGTTTGGTCACACAGGGTTTGGTCACAAAGGGTTTGGTCACACAGGGTTTGGTCACAGAGGGTTTGGTCACAAAGGTTTGGTCACACAGGGTTTGGTCACAAAGGTTTGGTCACA